GTATTTTCTTTTCGGCTAATTTGTTGTTTTGTATATATGTTTTTTGACAGGTGGATTACGGTACCATGGGATGGCACCCTTGATCTCACATGTTTATGAACTAGGTTTCATGGAAGCAATCTCAATTCCTCAAATCGAGTGTTTCCGAGGTGGTTCTTCGCCTAATCTCAATTAGTTTTATAAAATTTACATCTTATACTTTGCATTAGACTTGTAGTACCAACTTTCCGAGGTTTAATTTTCTTGCAGGTGCTATTCAATTTGCAAGAACTGAAGGGATAATACCGGCGCCGGAACCAACTCACGCAATTGCTGCAACCATAAGAGAAGCTCTTAGATGCAAAGAAACAGGAGAAGCAAAAGTGATACTAATGGCAATGTGTGGACATGGCCACTTTGATCTTCCCTCTTACGACAAGTATTTACGAGGAGAAATGGTAGATTTATCATTCAGCGAAGAGAATAGACGAGAGTCTTTGTCCAAGGTTCCTCATGTTGTTTAGCACTAAAGCTCCTATAATGTTCCAAACCAGACATGTGAAATAAGCTAAGTGGTTTCCATGGCTATTGAAACAAAGAATGAGAGAGAGAGAACAACTTCAATAATGGACACAATGTTTCAGATAAAAAGAAAAGATATTTTCAAAAATACCGTATTTTAGTCTTTTTCCAAGGTTCCTCATAGCTTGATATGGATTAACTATCGTTGTCTGTTTAATAGACGAACTAAAATCTTTTGAATATTTTACACCTAAACACTACAAGAAAACAGGGTCGTTTCCGACGGCCAAAACCGTCGGAAAGCCGTCGGAAAAACCCCTATTCCGACGGCTTTCCGACGGTTTTGGTCCGTCGGTTCTATCTCGTCGGAAATAAATATCCGTCGAAAAAACCTGACGGATTTCCGACGGAAAAGGGATAACTGGAATCTGTCGAAATTCCGTCGGAAGTCCGTCGGATTCCAATTGCCGACGGGTTTCCAACGAAAGTGGTCACCGACGGACTTCCGACGGAAAGAAATACCGACAGATTTCCGACGACGGTGGTGACCGACGGATTTCCGACGGCATCTTTTACCGACGGATTTCCGACGGCCAGAAATTCCGACGGATTTCCGACGACGGTGGTGACCAACGGATTTCCGACGGCACTTTTGCCGACGGATTTCCGACGGCCACGCAAACCGACGGAATTCCGACGGATTAATTATT